AGTAAAGGCTGTATTGCTTGGGACAGTGTCCTGTTAGAAAAACCCCGTGACAATCCAAAGATTGTTTTACTTAAATCAAGGAAAACCTTTATTTTTCTTCGGTCATAAGTTCTGAAGAACTTTTCCAGTGTCTTAGACAGTTTTAGGATTCCCATTCCATCAGGTTACGGATGGAGTCATCCAGATTCTTCAGTTCCGCTTTCAGTTGGTTCTGGTTTGGAAAACTGAACGTTTTTTTTTCTGGTCCAGTTAGTGGGAGTAAGTGTCTTGCCCTTCCTAGCTAGATCATTTGCTTTTCAATATTTCTACCTCTTGGTGAGCAGGCACCCAGAGTAGGAGGACTTATTTCTTTTTTGGCTCCAATTTGTTGAGCTTCTCTGTGCATTCTTTGACCAAATCCCTAAATTGATGATTATTGAGTTGATCGCGTTAAGTGCTGCTTGGACTATCGGATAGAATGGCACTCTGGTTGTTTTCGATAGTTCCTATCTAAGATAAATTGTACGTACATTTCGATAGCGTAAATTTATGCCTGAAGGATACTGTAGGTATCTACTGTCTGAGTATTTGGGCTGGCCCAAATTCTATCCCTGTCCCTGCTTGGTTTTGGGAAGCATCAGTATACGACGTTAAGGTGCGTATGGTATTTTCACAATTGAGTAAGCTCCTCTTTTCTTCTTCCAATCACTTTATTGCTAAATACTACAGTGAGGTGTTTTCAAAGTTGTACATTCCTGTTATGTCACCCACTGGGAGTTGGAGAAGTGAATTTTTTCTTTTGAGGGTGTTCCAAGTTCCCGGACCCGAAAATTCTCCTGTGTATACCGTTTGCCAATGACCATCTAACCACATCTAATTGGCATAACTACCGACGACACAATGCAGTGGTATCCGGGGACATACTGTATAAATATATTTTAGAATTCAAAATTTAAAAATGAGTATATTTTTTAAATTTATTTGCCAAGTAAAATAAACTATAAACCAGAATCGATAAAACTTTAAAAACGTATAGTAGTTCATATTTAAATCTGTTAAATGTGTAATTAGATGTATATAATTTGTTTGTTAAGTATAAGTAAATTGAGACTAATTACAAACTTAGTGGTTTTCCTTGATGATTTCCGACAACTTATAAGGTTTTTACATGTTTTATAATTTATTTTAATAATTTACAAATAATATTTAATCGCTATACATTGAAGTAAAGCAAATAAACTTTTAGTAAGATGGCTGGTGTGTTCGTAGTAACGAATAAAGACAAGTTTTTTGAACAGATGCGATTGGAACATAATAAGTCTGAAAAGGAATATGAACAGTGCCTGGACATTTTGAGCGAATGGGCAGATACTCAAAAACATTTTCCAGAAAAACCAGGTAATTTAGTTACTATACCGGGTGCGTCTCAAAAGTGGCTCACCCCCTATAACTTTTTTATTTTTTCAGGTAAAAAAACGAGATTTGGTATGTCTGTATATGACATAAATTAGGATTGATTGGCGTATTCAATTGCTTTTGGTCACTTCCTGTTTCACCGGAAATGACTACAACTTTTGATTTTTAAATGTCACCTTCGGTATTTTTTTATTTTATTCGATAGAAAATGATATTCTATGAATAGAATGACATATCATATGTCAATTTTTGACATTCTCGCTTGATAAAAAAAATTATTTTAAAATTCAATCTAGAGTGCCATGGCTATGTTAAAAACACTAATTCTTAATCAAGGAGTCTTGGAAAAATAGATTTGATCGTCTAATGTTTTTATTATCTTATATAAACGTTTAATCATATCTTAATTTTTTCAAATGGAACGAGGGTGGCTCATTAGCATATTTGGAAAAAACATTTTTTTGCGAATAATTTGATACCTTACACTTGGTATTTCGAGTCAAATTTTCGTTACAAACCGCAAGTCATAATTTCAAATAAACCATATGCGAAAATGTCAAAAGTTGACATATTAGGTATGTCGTTCTGTTCAGAGTGTTATCTTCTATCGAATAAAGTAAAAAAATACCGAGAGTGTCATTTAAAAATCTAAAGTTATAGTCATTTCCGGTCAAACAAAATCAAAAATTGAAATAATTCCCGGTGAAACAGAAAGTGACCGAAATTCGAACTTCAATCAATCCTGATTTATGTCATGTACTAAAATACAAAACTTCGTTTTTTTAACTTAAAAAATAAATAAAAAGTTATAGGGGTGAGAATCACTTTTGAAAAACGCCCGGTATTGTTTTAGATCGATATATTCTGCGTTATGTGTTACTCTCCAACAAGTTCAGTATCGAGAGATCTAAGGAAAAACTGGACATGTATTACAGCGTGCGCAACCTCATGCCAGAAATCTTCTCAAAACATCCACTATCACCAGAGTTCATAAAGGAAAGCAGAGTAAAGTGAGTACACAAAATTGGAAAGCAGTAGTTATGTCCCTTAAGTGTTGTTAAAGAGATGAGTTATGTTGATGTAAATAATAACTGTTTATATACACTCATCGGCAAAAGTCTTGCACGCCCTTACTATTTTAATAAAAAATTACATTTCAAACTAATCTTTCGTGGAAACCAATAGATACTAAAGTTATGTTAAAAAATAACACAAAAAAAGGGAAAACTTTGACCAAGTTTAATAATATATTTTGCCAAAATACAAAAAAATACAAATTCCGTAAAGAAAAATGTTTGACAAAAAAAGAGAATGTAAATAAATAAATAATAAATTCTGACAAAATTAAGGTTACTAATATAAAATATAGCCTCCACGATTTGTTATGAGTGCATCAAGTCGTCGGGACATCCCCACTATAAGGTTGTTTATGGTTTCTTGAGATACGTTCTGCCATAATTCTTGAGCGGCAATGATCAACTCCTGGCGATTTCTTGGTGGGTTATTTCTGCGAATACAGCTCTGGTGATGTAGTCCCAGACATTTCAATGAAATTCATGTCGGGGGAGAGTGGAGGCCAGTCCAGACGAGTCATTTCCCCTTCATTTAATGCTTCCTGGACCATCCTAGCTCTGTGAGGACGAGCGTTATCATCCATGGGAATAAAATTATTGCAGATTTCTTCTCGCAGTGGATACATTATTGGTCTGATTACAGTTTCCACATACAAATGGGCGTTCATCACCTCAGGAATATGAATGAGCTCTGTTCGCCTATAGTACATGATGCCACCCCAGCACATCTCAGTTTCTCCTTGATAAGGAGCACTTTATTCAAGCGATGCTGCCTCCCTGCATCCCTCCACACTCGCTGACGATAGGCATCACTTATCAAACCTATCCTGGTTTCGTCAGTGAAAATTACGTTTCTCCACTGAGGTAATAACCAGTTCTGGTGTTCTCTAGCTCACTGTAGCCTCCTTTGCCTATGGTATAAAATTAATAGAGGGACTCGCAGTGGACGTCTACGCCACAATCCAGCATTTAAAAGTCGCCTGGAAATGGTTCGGCTTAATATCACTCGGTCAGTGGTAAGTTCGTTGAAACTGAGATCGTAGCTCTCGAATTGGAACTAACCGATTTCTTTTGGCAAATTGAGCCAAGTAGCGATCCTGTGGTTCAGTCGTTACCCTTGTACGGCCCAATCTAGGACGAGATCTTACATTTCCGGTGTCCATATACCGTTGTGTAATTCGGCTTGCAGTCTCTCTCTCTCTATCTTTATTCCTACAAGAGGAATGTAATGGTCAGGTGATGTGTGAGGTTTGTCTCCATAATTCCCTGTCTTGTGTTTCATGTACAAGCGTGTGCAGTGGCTTGTGGGTGATCTTTGATAACTGGTCTATCCATCGGGAGGGCGAGCGGCCTCTTGGTCTTCTTCCCGGAACGTTGCCCTGTATAATGAGTTTTTCCATAGAGTCAGTATCCCTCCTCATAACGTGACCGAAACATTTAAGTATACGTGACTGTATAGAAGTTGAGAGGCGTTCTGTGGTGTTCAGTTCTTGGATTATGGATTCATTGGTTCGCCGGGCAGTCCAGGGGAATTCTTGAGCATTCGTCGCATAATGGTAAATCTCAGTTGCGTCAATTTTTTTCATTTCTGACTGCCTCATCGTCCAGGACTCGGAGCCATACATTAATATAGGAAATAGTTAGGCAGTGAACAACCTTTTTTTTAAGTGTTTAGATATGTTTTTGTCTCGCCATATCTTTTGAGAGTTTTCGCACTGCCACTCTTGTCATTTCACATCTTCTTCTTATTTCCCCTTCTAACGATCCCGTGTTGTTTATAAGTGACCCAAGATATATATTGATATTACAACCTCAAAACGACCAATGCTTACTACATCAGGTTTGTTGTTGTTTTGCCTGTCGATAATCATAATTTTTGTTTTAGAGGGATTAATTTCAAGTCCAAGTTTCTCGCTTTTCGTCTTCAACCAATTTTAGAAGCTGCAATAACACTTCCTCGTTTCCCGCTAGAAGGACCGTATCGTCTGCAAATCTGAGGGTTGGTAATTTTGTGACCATTAATTGTATTTATCCCCTTGCCAATGTTCCAATGCCCTTCTCACTTGATATATTCAGTATATATATTGAATACTGAGGAGATAGTATGCACCCCCTGCCTAACACCACAGGTAGGCTGGAAGTCTTCCGAAGTAACGCCATTGATGATAATTCTACTTTTGGTATTTATATAGAGATTCTGGATAAATAAAATCAAAAGAAGAATCACGCCCATTTCTTTAAGAACCATCCATAGTTTTGACCATTTGACTTTGTCAAAAGCTTTTCGATAGTCTACGAAAGAAATATAGAGCGGATTGTTAAATTCTCGGGCCTTTTCGATAATCTGACGGACATTCAAAATTTGTTCACGTGTTCCTCGACCTCTTGTGAATCCTGCTTGCTCTGGAGGGATTTGTGGTTGAATATACGGTTTTAGCCTTGTTAATGATATAAAGAAAAGATTTTCAAAAGATATATTGGCATGTGAAATTAGCGCAATGGTACGAAAGTTGTCGGAGTCATTTGGCTGGAGATCCTTTTTTGTGGATGGTTATTATGGAACAATCAGTCCAATCTGATGGCCATTGGTGCGTATGCCATATCATATTACATAACTTGTGCAAGATGTCCACACCAAAATCTCCCGACGCTTGGAGCATTTCGGCCGTGATGTGATCTGGTCCCGGGGCTTTATGATGTTTTAGGTTTTTTATTGCTGCTTCAATATCCGATTTCAGTATGTCTGGTTCTTCATTAATTATATCACTGTGGAAAGAGCAACTAGGCTGAGGATCTTTTTCTTTATACAGTGTTTCGCAGTATGTTCGCCATCGTTCCACTATTTCGTTAATTTCGGTTTTAAGTTTTCCTCGATCGTGTTCTATTGCCCATGTTCGATCGTCTTACTATTGCCCGGCTTGCAGTACTTCGGGCCCTATCGAAGGCAGAAATTTCGTGCCCTGGAATTTTTGTCGCCTTTCACAACACTTACTACAAGACTGAACTCGAACTGAAAAACAAAATTTGACCGCAAATAGCAAAACCATACACATTCCATCGATAAGGTTTTCATTCAAAGCTTTTATGACCTTTTTTTTGTAGACACATATTAAGGTATTTGTACACATAGCCACTGCAAAATAAAACACTAAATCACCACAATACACCAAAACACTTTTATTTTTACACTGGACGCGCGTTTCGCTAACCATGTTAGCATCATCAGCAGATGATTGTAAACTAAAATACAATCTACAATTGGAGCGTTTATATACTCGCTTAGTGGGGACAGAGTGGGCGTGGCAAGATCTAGCCAACCGAGTCAGAACCCACCGAGCGTAACAGTTAGATTTCCGCCACTAGAGCTGTAGGAACAAAGAACTTGATGGAATTGGACCGTTGTCTCTGTTCATACTATCTTTACATTTATTAATTCTGATGCTTTCATATGCATCTAATTGCCTGTAATTTGAGACTTGTTTAAGTAATTTTAAGTTGTCAAGATCTATACATTGTTCTTTATCAATATGTTCGGCAACGCAAGATTTATCAGGTCTATCATATCTTATCTGAGCTAAATGTTTTTTAAATCTAGTTAATATTGATCTTCTAGTTTGCCCAACATATTTCTGATTACAATCTTTACAATAAATTTCATAAACACCCGACCTTTCCAGTAGAGGTGTTTTTTCCTTTGGATTGCCTAATAATTGTTGTAATTTATTATTAGCACTTTTATAATATAATTTATTATTAGCACAAGTTATAATTTAGCACAATTAGCACAAGTTTATAATTGACATTCTTAAAAATTCCCTTTAGACCACGGGATAACTGTCTATCAAACGGTATTGAAAAATATTTTGACGTATCTTTCTCCACTTGAAAAGTCGAATTTTCAGAAGTCATTAACCTATACCTACGTTTTCTAAATATTTTATCAACTAGTGAAGGAGAATATTCATTATACTCAGCTACATTCCTAATGTAATCTCTTTCTATTTCAAACCAAACCAAATCTAGCCACTACAATATGCTATGCAAAGATATACATTTATCTGGGGGGTGCAAGACTTTTGCTGACGAGTGTATTTATAATTAATTAATTTTTTTTCCTAAAATATTTTGATTAAAAGAAAACATGTAAAAGTGGGCAATGCTGTGCCAATCAAGCTTAATCATGTGACTAAAAGTTTATCTGATTTTGGTAATGCCTGCAAAATAACCCAGATGAGGTCACTGTGCGAAAAAGTATGTGTGGGGGAGCCTTAAGATGATTTTTATACTATTTTATTTTTAGTTATGCAATACCAATGCCCAAACCTGGTCCAGGCTATAAAAGGATCGTGTATTGCCAACATAATCCAGAATTTGGAGCGGAATATTTCTATCCAGAGAAGTTCCTTATACATATATTGCATGTGGCAGAACTGATATTCCATACAGACGATTGTTGCAATTATCACTTCATCTATGATTGCAACGGTTTAACATTAGGACATGTACCACGATTCAGTCTAGTGGTTATGAAGAAAGTAGGCTTCCTACTTGATGTGAGTAAAACGATTGGCCCGGTTAAAAAATTGCCGTACTGTAACTCTACTACTTTTGAGACAGTGTTTACATGTGTGAAATAAATCTTATAGGGATCTTATTAAGTCGGAGTGAGAGGAATGCGACGGTGTGCTGTTGCGGCGTTGCCACATTTCGCCGGTACGCCTTTCCCTATCAACTAAAGTAAAATCACGATTGCAAACCGCTTATTTTTAAAAGAGATTTTTTCGAGAAGATAACTGCCCGTCAAATTAAATACCACAACGATTTTTTTACCGATTTTCAACGAGTTGTAACTTTAAAAAAGATGGACCGATTTTGTTGATTTTTTTAGCATGTTAAAGATCGTTTTTGGTAGATTGATCTGATTTTTCTAAATTTTGTATGAGATTTAGTTTTCTATGATATACAGGGTGTGAAAAAAGATGTAATTGTTGTAATTTTGTGTTGCTGCCATTTGTTAAAAAAAAAAACTAGAATTATAAGTTCTGGGTATAGCTAAGACTAATATCTCGGGACGTATTGATCAATAGTAGTAATAAGTATCAATAATAATAAGATAAGATAAGTATAAATAATAAGATAATAAGTATCAATACCTGAGTAGATATTTTCTACCGTCTTAACTGACACGCAAAACTGACAGCTAAAAGGTTACGTGTAGACTTGGCTTTAAGTCTTAGTGGGATATCAATGGTAAAATCATCGTTAATGTCGCCATAATTTTCTGACAAAAAAAATAACTTTAATGTAAGATAAACAATTGCCTATTCGTTTGTATTTTTAGAAAGTAAATTCTCGAATCGTATGGCATCTATCTACGTAGTGAATTTTCATCCGTACATGGAGCATATAGTGAATCATTTTTTCAAAACCTCGTTTTTAATAATTCAAAAACCACTCAATACTCTATGGTATTAAAATATTTTAAAAATTAATTTTATTTCTCAAATTGGTAATAATGTTTTTAATAATATTAAATAAATGTTGTATGGTTTAAAAAAGAGGAACTAAAAATAATGATAAATTAAAAACTAAATAAAATATTTTTTTCTCATAATTTTAGTCAACGTAATAGGACAAATTATAAAAAATAAATTTAATGATAATGAGTTTAATTACATTATGTAGCAATTAATTTTTGAACTGATCTTTCTAGGAAAAATTATGATAGTTAAGTTAATATTTTCTATTCTCAAAAACATATATAAAAATAGATTAAAAAATATAAAAGGATTTGTTTTTGACCTAACATATACAGGCAAACATTTACAGTAATTTGATCATAGTTTTGTGTATAGGGTGAGTCTTAAATAAGTGCAAATACTCTGATCTCGATAAAAGAAACATATTTTCTAAGGTTTTTCAAATAAAGTCCAAAAAAAATCGAGTTATTCAAGTTTAAAAAATTAAAAAAAAAATCTGTATATGCGTCCCTTTTTTCCGTAACCATAGAGTAAAGTCGTAACCATGGTAATATGCGAAATTAAGAAAATATACCGTGGAAGAGTTTGCGCGGTTCTAAAAATTTCTCTAAAATATACAGGAAATTTAGATTTAAAAATATACAGGGATTTTTTTTTAGGTACGACTGCACTGATGTTCTCTCCGGCTTCTTTGCTACCGTTTAACTGTGTTTCTGTAAAAAAAATTAGACGACGTGTCCCATCAATAAAATTCGACAAATTTGGAAGTAGCCAATGAAATGAAAGAGTGTTTTGCGGTGACATACTTGTTAAGTCCACGTGGACTCTCTGCCGTTTCTATACAGGGTGAGTTTCCTACGATGTTCTCTATGGCTATTTCGGAAACTATATATATATAAATTCAGGTCAGAACGTCCTCCCAGAAAATCGGAGAACACAAACCCATTAGGGATGTGATTATACAGGGTGTTTCAAAACAAATGCGAAAAACTTCAGGGGGTGATTCTGTTCAAATAAAGGGTAGTTTGTTTTATAAAATCGCTAATAAAAAAGTCAACCATTAGGGAGATACTGCGGTACAAAGATGGCGGAAAATAATGTTTTATTTTTATCTTGAAAACGAAAAGAGATAGACTAATGAAATTCTATGGAAGCATTACTGTTATGAAAAACACACATTCTTAGGTAATTTTTCACTTTAAAATGAGTGGGAGGGGCTGAAATAAACTTTCACCCTTATCATCCTTTGTTAACGAAATTCTAAAGAAAATCTTATCAAACACATGCAAAAAAATTAATTTGATAGTTTAGTCTGTTTAGAAACTTTTTTTATCTCTTTGTGTTTTTGATAAACTCACCGATTTGAAATTAAAAAATAAAAATGTAAAGCATTACATGTCAGGAACAAAAACATTTTCTGATAAAGAATCTAGTATTGCTGTAATTTTTTAGAATAAATCTAGTCGGTCATTGTTACTTTTAGGATATTTCTAATATTATTTTATTTTGACATTACTTATCGTATTAGGGCTATTATCTAGATGATTACATTATCAATATTATCACTAGATTCTTTAATCTAAAAATGTTTTTGTCAGCAATACGTAACCGAACGAAGTACGCAA